CCTTTCTATTAACTCATTTCCAATACGAAGACGTGGTGGTTCAGGTATAGCGTCCGTGAAAGAGATCCACATGTCCTTAGTTTTTTTAGCATTAATTGCCATTTTATTTAACACCGCCCAGTTATTTACTTCATTGATAGATTGTTGTAAATTACTATTAGAATTTACGCTCACTATTTGGTGTTGTTTGCAGTCATCTGCATACTTATTCGTACTGACTTTTAGTTGTTCTGGTAAGGCGTCCTCCAAATCATCAATGTAGGTATTAAAAAGAATGGGAGATATTACAGAGCCTTGCGGGACTACGGCCGGGCATGTTGCAATGGATGATAAGGTACCATTGAGATTTACTTGTTGAACTCTTCCGGAAAGGAAACTTTTAATCCATAACCAGAAGGGTTTATTTATGTTCATAGCTGCTAATTTGTTCAAAAGAATATTGTGATCCACAAGGTCGAAGGCCTTACGAAAGGCAATGAAGGCCGCATGAACCCCCATTTTGCCTGTTTTTGAACAATCAGTGGCATTAAACCAGGTTTGGATAGTTGATATTAACGCAGAGACTGTGCTTCGATGTTGAGTAAACGCGTGCTGGTTATTCTTAATTTTCAGATCTTCAATATTTAACTGGAGCTGGATCTTTTCCAGGATCCTTGGCAAGATGGGGTAAGACTGATATCTGGCGGAAATCATTGTTAATGTCTCTCGGTGGTTGCACTTTAGGAACAGGGGAAATTAGGGCATGTTTGTAGAGTGATGGATAACAACATTGACTTGTACTACAGCACACAATGTCATAAACCACAGGAGCTAGGTCTTCGTGGTATTGTTTGAGCATCCATGCAGGAACCTTATCAATGCCAGTTGCTTTTCTTGGATTAAGATGTTTTAAGACCGCTTTAACTTGGCCAATAGAAGGAAGGGGTGGTTTGTTATTCTTATGTGGGTGGATCACTTCAGGTATTTCAAAGGCGACATTCGTGTAACGGTCTGACCATGGTTTAGTGAAGGCTTTCTGAAGTTTTTCAACTAAGTCGGATAAGTCTAGGCTTTCGGGCCTGTGTGGAATTGGGTATGGGTTGTGTTTTCGGCATTTACTAAAGAGTAGATACAGTTATACCACTTCGATTGATTCGAGATACGAAATTCTGAGGCCTTGGACCGATAGTAGGTGGCTTTAGCTTTAGCTATAAGATTTGCCACTTTCTCGCATAGTTGTTTGTATCTTGGCTGATCACCACGAGAAAAGGCCTTCTGACGAGCTTTGATTTGCATTTTAATATTACCGGTGATCCACGGTTTATCAGAGTGATGTACTCTGATGGTTTTTTCGGGTAAGAACTCGTCAAGCATCTTGATTATAATGGAGTTATAAGCTGATACTTTCTCATCCACATCCAGTGCTGAATATACAGCAGTCCAATCTTCAGAAGCCATATTCAGGGAGAGGTCATTTAAATTTGCTCGTTTCATCAATCTAATTTTTTTTGACGTAACCGGAGTTTTCTGTCTTTTAATGGGCTTGATTAGAAGACATTGGTGGTCGGATCAAAATCATTCAGTCATGCAGTCCTTAGTATAGGATTCCAACCGACGAAGATGCTTTGTTAGAAAGCTGCCTTGAAACGTAAGCTGCCTTAAGTGGTAATTCAATTCGCCAATTGCAATTTAAGCAAGAAGCACGATTTCTTGTCTTGCGCACGCGCGTGCATTCACGCGCACGTGACGTCACAAACCTCGCTGCGTTTTGATTGGTTAGTCGCACCCTCATTAGCGCTTGTTGATCCCTAATTACTTTAATTTATAGCTGTCGAATACGTAGTACAGGACTTTGCAGCTTTCCAAGATGACCATACTATGGTAGTATGGAAATTAAACAATGTTCAATAATGTACAAACACGTTACTGAAATGGAGTATATTTTAACCTCCAAAAAATGTTTTTATTAAATCTTTGAAAGAATATGGGAAATAAGATCTCCCTTGGGAAATGTGTTATTTATTGTGGCTTTCCCGGCCAGCGAAAGAAGACGAAACAAAAGGAAGTAGAGCAGCGGAGGAAAGAAGAGGAATTAGAGCGATACGAAATTTGGCTTCGGGCTGAGAAGTTTAAAGCAGATTTCCCTGAATATTGCATTAAAGCAGGCATTGCACCATCGTCGCTAGTTCCGAGCGCACATCATTCGGAGCAAACATCGGAAGAAAGTCGACGCACTAAGGTAAGAACAATAAGGTGGCTGTTTGAGAGTACGTGATGAATGAATGAAGAAAGATGGGACTGTCTTTGTAAAACCTGCGTAAAGCCCATTTTCCACCAGGCGAATTTGTCCGCGCGAACAGTAAAAAAGTAGGAACTGATCCAACTTTTTCGCGGCGAATTTTTTCGCTGACCAATCACATTGCCAAGATTTGTTTGGTTTTATTTGACTTAATTAAAAACTGAACTGAATTGGCGTCGCGTTGTCGAATCGCGTTCGGTCTGTATGGGCTTTGACTCGTTCGCCGTAATGGCTAAGTTTTTATTTCATATATTAATTGGCAATGTGTTGTTGTTGCATTTGTGTTTTAATGTTATCATTTTCGTTGCTTTTTGGATTGTTTTTGGCTGTTGTTGTCGGTGTTGTACGTTAATTGTTGTTGTTTTGCTGCGGTTGTTTTGCTATATAGCCTTGGATAATTATAACCACTGCTGAGGGTATATCCAAATTAAAATACAACTAACCAACGTTACTTAACCTGGCTAAAATATAACATAAAAAAAAACCAAACTGGAGATTAGAAACATGTTATTATCTGGAAATGGTTTATTCTAGTATTAGATTAGCCATCTTGTAATTTTTAAAAATAATTTTGTAAATGTAAATTTGTTTTGAATTTGATTTATGATTCGCTTGCGAATGCGCAAAAACATTATATTTTGTCAATAACATCCTCGGTGACAAACCGGTGTCATGGCGAAAGGTGACAAAATTCCGAGCTCCGCATCTGTTGCAAATTCCGACAACAAAACCAGCGAATCTGAAAGCAAAATAGAAAAATCTTCTTTTCTATTCTACAATGTAAATAATTTTACATGGAAAGGAGTAGTAATATAGAGGCCGTTCGACCGCCTTTTTTGTGGTGGAGTGTGGTGGAGTGTGGTGGAGTGTGGTGGAGTGTGGTGGAGTGTGGTGGAGTGTGGTGGAGTGTGGTGGAGTGTGGTGGAGTGGGGTGGAGTGTGGTGGAGTGTGGTGGAGTGTGGTGGAGTGTGGTGGAGTGTGGTGGAGTGTGGTGGAGTGTGGTGGAGTGTGGTGGAGTGTGGTGGAGTGTTGTGGAGTGTGGTGGAGTGTGGTGGAGTGTGGTGGAGTGTGGTGGAGTGTGGTGGAGTGTGGTGGAGTGTGGTGGAGTGTGGTGGAGTGTGGTGGAGTGTGGTGGAGTGTGGTGGAGTGTGGTGGAGTGTGGTGGAGTGTGGTGGAGTGTGGTGGAGTGAGGAGGAGCAGTGAGGAGGAGGAGTGAGGAGGCAGAGTGAGGAGGAGTGAAGAGCAGGAGAATAATAAAATCGACAAGCGTCTTGTAATAAGCATAGTTCTACATCAGGCATGGCGTGTCTACACGGTAAAGCCGCGTCTTACAATTTATTGGAAGGAATATATGCGAATGCAGTCGCACATGAAGTGGAAAGACTTTGTGTGGATTCCTGTAATGGTTGTCAAACCGGTCATCCTAGTCAAAGACAACATGACTGCCTCATGATGAACGAAAACGAACGATGGCAAACGTATGGTTTACAAGCGATCGAACGAGTGAATGGTAAGCTTCTGGTTAGGAATGAATTCGCTGAGGCAATGAGGGTACTAAAACTGGCGGTTGACAGAGATGTACTCGAACATTTACAGCAACTGGAAAAAGATCCAGATTCTACGTTTGTCGATTCATTGATGGAACTACATCAGAACACTGAGAACCACGATCTACAATGTATGCTGAACTATTTGTTTCATTAGAGATTAGAAGACCCACTCGAGTCAGTAGCTGAAGCGTTTTTCTCTTGCCCACCAAGTTACACGTATTCTGTGAAGGCGATGGGTGAACGATTTAGCAGTTTTCAGGCAGATCATAAGAATACTTATCAAGAACTTTGGAGAAAAAACTTGTAGAACAGTTTAACAAACGGTTTTAGTTGTAATATTTCTTAACACTATCGTCTGTTTGCAAATGTTGCGTTGTTATCCGTTGCTAAGTCATTAGGAGGCGTGTAGGTAATTAAGGGATTAGGCGAACAAAAATGTGCATAACTAAGTGTATTCCAATGGATAGATAGGGATTATTTATAACGCAGGTATATGCCTTAAAATCGGACGCGAGGCTTGTGGGCAAAAATTTACACAAGAAGTTAGATTTAAAACACATTTATTTCTTTCGGTTAATAATTCTTGTCTGTATAAATATATTATCCGGCTTTTGTTTCTAATTTTAACCGCTCGTTTGAGCCATCATTCATTTCTGTATTGTCCACGTTCTTTGCAGATTTTGTATTCCTTTTTGTTCTCTTCCTGGAGGATTTTGGTTGACGGATGAGTATATTCTTTATCCCGCTTTTATTCCACTTTGACTGCTTTTTACTGTTCTCAATTAATCTATACAACTCTGCTAAAAAGTCTAAAGCTGTTGGCTTAGCACGAATAAGATAAGGTTGTCTTTCTTGGGATGAAAGTTCATGGACGTCTGCCAAATCGTTTGCCAATCTTTTTAAAGCTCGCTTTCCGCAGATGGGACAATGTTTACACTTCCGAGGCATAATGTCAAATGATAAATGTCAACTGAATTCTAACATTTTTGATGGTTTGCCGGGACTTGGGAGAGGGTTAGGAGAAAATAGCTACCACACATGATCGTATTTTATTTTATTTTTATAAATCAAACACAATCAACCATTAAGAGTCAATGTCACTACGATACCGTTTGTTTCTGAAACGTCTTTTCAAAAGAAATTTTCTCTTGTCAATAGCGGCCTCTAACGCTTCCCTGTGGTCGAAATTATCATCGTTGACAAAGACATCCCTGGTTTCCATAATCTTTTTGTGTATTGGATCCCTCTTTAATTGTCTTATCCATAGTAGACGTTCCAGATAAATATTCTGCAAATCTTTACGAAGTTTTGGTAGGATAAGTAAGTATGCCTTGTCTTTAGCTTCGTTTTCGTCAAAACCTTCTGCAGTGAAATTCTGCGTTAGTTCTTCGAATCCCGATAAACTTTGTTGGGTTGCTTCAGTTTTTAAAGGAGCCCATGGATCGCTTTCGTATTCATCACCTACTTCACTACTAGTATCATCCAAATTATCAGAATCACTTTCTGACGCAGAATCAGTTTCCACTTCGTTGTCAGTGTTATACGAATTCTCAACATCACTCTCTGATGTACCACTATCAGAGTCTGCAGTCGTTCTCATTCTTTTTATCTTTACACTGAAATCTGTAGTATGTTTCCAGCAGTACTGTATTTCCTTCGTATATTGTTAGGTTGAAACAACTCCAACCACAACCAACCGGCGAATGTTCAATTTTTTAAACAACATTACATTTTATGAAGTGGCCTTAAGGGACGTTTCTATGGCCTTGTGGCCCGATTGGCCGGGATACTTCCCACCAAGAGGGCTCTAGAGAATCGGGCCACAAGGCCATAGAAAAGGCCCTTGGGGCCAATGAGAAAAGTGGCCCCAAAGGCCTTTTCTACGGCCTTGTGGCCCGATTGGCTGGGATACTTCCCACCAAGAGGGCTCTAGAGAATCGGGTCACAAGGCCATAGAAAAGGCCCTTGGGGCCAGTGCGAAAAGTGGCCCATCCCAACCAATCATCAATCGGGCCACAAGGCCGTACAAAGGCCCTTGGGGCCACTTTTCGCACTGGCCCCAAGGGCTTTTTCTATGGCCTTGTGGCCTCGGAAGTGTAAAGCCTCGGAAGTGTAAAGATTGTCCCATCTGCGGAAAGCGAGCTTTAAAAAGATTGGCAAACCATTTGGCAGACGTCCATGAACTTTCATCCCAAGAAAGACAACCTTATCTTATTCGTGCTAAGCCAACAGCTTTAGACTTAGAAAATATTTTAGCAGAGTTGTACAGATTAATTGAGAACAGTAAAAAGCAGTCAAAGTGGAATAAAAGCGGGATAAAGAATATACTCATCCGTCAACCAAAATCCTCCAGGATAAGAACAAAATGGAATACAAAATCAGCAAAGAACGTGGACAATACAGAAATGAATGATGGCTCAAACGAGCGGTTAAAGTTAGAAACAAAAGCCGGACAAAACTCTTAAGTGGATAATATATTTATACAGACAAGAATTATTAACCTTGTAGTACTTAAAGAAATAAATGTGTTTTAAATCTAAATTCTTGTGTAAATTTTTGCCCACAAAGCCTCGCGTCCGATTTTAAGGCATACACCTGCGTTATAAATAATCCTTATCTATCCATTGGGATACACTTAGTTATGCAGATTTTTGTTTGCCTAATCCCTTAATTACCTACACGCCTCCTAATGACTTAGCAACGAATAAAAGAACGCAACATTTGCCAAGTTTAAAACATGTTTATTTGTACAAATAACAGACGATAGTGTTATAAAATATTACAACTAAAACTGTTAAACTGTTCTACAAATTTTTCTCCATGAGTTCTTGATAAGCTTTGTTATGATCTGCCTGAAAACTTCTAAATCGTTCACCCGTCGCCTTCACAGAATACATGTAACTCGGTGGGCAAGAGAAAAACGCTTCTGCTACTGACTCGAGTAGGTCTTCTAATCTCCAATGAAACAAATAGTTCAGCATACATTGTAGTTCGTGGTTCTCAGTGTTCTGATGTAGTTCCATCAACGAATCGACAAACGTAGAATCTGGATCTTTTTCCAGTTGCTGTAAATGTTCGAGTACATCTCTGTCAACCGCCAGTTTTAGTACCCTCATTGCCTCAGCGAATTCATTCCAAACCATACGCTTACCATTCACTCGTTCGATCGCTTGTAAACCATACATTTGCCATCGTTCGTTTTCGTTCATCATGAGGCAGTCATGTTGTCTCGAGTCTCTCGATATTATATTAATTTTCAGTTTAAATTAAACTTACTCAACATTCTCTTGATGTTGCTGTGCCATTCTCTACCAAGTACTTCTCTCCAAGTTTCACCAAAGGACCTCCAGTAAGAGCGTTGTCAAATGTAGAACTATGCTTGTTACAAGA